ATTCTTCTCCTACCGGTTCTCCTGCTTCTCCCTCTCCTCCCTCTCTCCTCCCTCTCCTCTCTTTTCCTCCCTTTTCTCCCTCTCCTTCCTCTCCTTTTTCTCCTTCTCTCGTTCCTCCTTTCTCTCTTCTCCCTCTACTTCCTCTCCCCTCTCTCCTGCCTCTCCTTCTGGTTCTCCTCCTCTCCTCCTCTCCTCCTCTCCTCCCTCTCCTCCCTCTCCTCCCTCTCCTCCCTCTCCTCCCTCTCTCTGCTCCCTCTCCTCCCTCCCCCGGCGCCCCCCCCCCCTCTCCCCCATCTCCTCCTCCCCGTCGTCGTTGACTGTCTTCTTGATCCTCGATGCTCTTTGATGGTGGGACGTTCCTCCAGCGATCGGACGGTCGGTCGTCCACGTGTTCCTCCCTTCCCTTCTCCTTCTCCTTCTCCTCCTCCTCCCTTCCTTGTCCAAATGTCCTTTTTTTTTTTTTTTTTTTTTTTTTCCGTATCCTCCGCCTCAAGCTTCCGCTTTCCTTTGCTTTCCTTTTCATCTCGGTCGTTGGTCTCATAGTTGCTGTATTTTTAAAACAATAACAATTTATTTACTTTTTCAGATTCGTTGATCTCATCTTGCGAGTCGATGCGAAATGCAAATGGGAAATTCTCTCCCCCCCCGCGCACGCATCCTCGTGCAACTTCTCTCGACGTTCGATGGAGCCTGTGATCGTGCGCAGTGGACGATGCGTAGAGGAGGAGGAGGACGCGGAGTTCAAAAGGAGGAGAAGTTGGGGAAGAGAGGGGGAGGGAGAGAAAATTGCTCCTTTCAAAGGTGAACGGGAGGAGCGGAAGAGGCAAGAGCAGAGGCGGGAGGGCGTCAGGAACCGACGAGCATGTTCGAGGAGAAGGTATAGCAGGCATTGTGTGCAATGTGCCACCAGGGGGAGAGAGAGAGAGAGAGAGAGAGAGAGAGAGAGAGAGAGAGAGAGAGAGAGAGAGAGAGAGAGAGAGAGTGCAATTGGGGGTGGAGAGGAAGGCTGGAAACAGCGTAGCAAATGGGGACGGTTTATGTATCGAGGGCAAAAAAATAAATAAATAAATAAATAAAATAAAATAAAATAACTTGAGATATGTGACGGCAAAGAAGTTGATGACTGTCAAGGGCCTGAGCGGCAGGAGCTGATTTGATTTGAGGTGACTATCTGATCTGATAGAGGATTAGGGTTTAGGGTTTAGGGCTTGGGGTTTAGGCCTTCGTTGATGGGTAACGGTTTAGGGGTTTAGGGGTTTAAGGGTTTAAGGGTTTAGGGGGTTACGGGGTTTCGGGTTTATGATGTTTTAGGGTTTATGCTTGGGGGTTTGGAAAGCAATAGTTGGGGGCATAATTAGTGGGTTATGGGGGTTGAACGGGGGGTGCTAGGGGGCGGTAGCTTTGGCGGGAAAGTAGTGTTGCTTCATTACTGCCGTCTTCAACCGAAAAGAACGCCCGGTCATTACAGATGTATTTGGCCCACTTTCACTCCAGGTACAGCGATAATGACCAGGCATTCTATTCAGGTGAAGACGATAGCTGTGATTCTCCTTCTCTTCCTCCTCTTGCGCGACTGGACAGCATCGTCACGGCAATAAATCTTGCTTATCAGTTGATGTTGTTTGGGCATGGGTGCGGGGTTGGCCTGATGCGATGGCGAAAACTCCACTCCTTCTCTTCCTCCTCTTCATCACCTCCTTCCTCTCCTGCTTCTGCTCCTCCTCCTCCTCCTAGTCGTGTTTCTGCACTCATTCGTGCCGCTGAGGTTCCTCGATGCATCTCC